GAATAAATGTGTCTGAGCATTTGTACCATACCACTCTAGTTAGATTTTCTCCTACAGATTTGGTTGAATTTCAGCTAATTAAAGCTCCTGTCCTCAGTTTGTCTCATACCGTGCACACCGTGCACGGGTCTTGTGCATAGTGACTGGGAAAGAGCTAGCTAAGTTCCAGCATATTCTTACTGGTTGCATGGGATTTTCTGGAGTGGAACTTGAATACCTCAAAATCAGATTTTTTCTGGAGACAGGTCCTGCGGAAGGGTCTGAGGGATGCTGTGGTGTGAGGGATCCATCTGTGAATGAGAAATAAGGACAAGATCATGGGCTGAGCTTTGCTGGAAATCAGTGAGGTTGGGGAAGTGCTGCGGTACCTGATGTATTCACATTACTGCAGTGCCACCTGAGGAACACCTAAGTGCAGCTTCTAGCTGCTATTACCCTCATTTTCTCTTTCCATGTATGTCTGATCTCGAATATGACCCTTCAATCCTGCACCATATGCCCTGGCAGCTGGTGGAGTACACAGAGCTCCATGCAGTCCCCAAGCCCCCAACCCGTGCAGACACCCCCCTGAATTTTTGGGATGACTGAGGGGTCACCTGCTTCACCCTTCCCCTCATTCCCCAGTCCACACCAGGAGCTCCAAGCACGCTGCCCAGTACTGGTGGGGCACAACAGGCTCCTCTGGGGAAGGGGCTTGCGGCAAGCTTGGGAAACAACAGGATGTTTTAATCTTTGCCTGCAAAGCTTTGCACAGGAACTGGTGTTATGTTTGGCCACATAGAGGGGTCCTGTCTGAAAGAGCTGCTTTTTTTCTTGCCTGAGGGGGAAGGAATGATATCAACCAGATTTGTTGAACGCTAGCATTTTACATGTCGTTATTGGGATTGTAAACACTTTGGGTCATCAGCCCTCTCCTCTTCCAATGCCTCTGCCTGGGTCCCACACGAGGAGCCCCTTGTCTCTGTATCTGCTACAGATGCTGCTGAAGAAATCACAGCAGCATTTCTCATGTGCCCCAAACTGCCTGCAGCTGCAAAGGCTCCTCTGGCCCCAGTTGCTGCTGCTGTGGTACCTCCAACAGCACCTCTGGCTTTACTGGCTGTCCCTTTCCCTGTTTCTGCTCTTCCTGCTCATGGCCAGGTGCATGCCTAGCATATTTTGGGGTAGTTATCTACTGTGTCCTCTCCCCCATGCCCTCCTCATTGGTGCCTGGTCCCTGTCCCTGGGCTGTGACAGCCATGCAAGGGCACATGGCCCTGCACAGACACCCATTTGTAGGAATGAACACGTCTTCCCAAACACTCAGGCAGATACAAACCGTATGTGTTTTGTATTAGTTTTCCCCAGCTGTTTTTCAGTTTGTGTTTTCCCTTGAGCTGAATGGGATTTTGTTTATGCTCTGCCCAGGTTTCTCGTTCCCGTGGGCCCTGGCACTGTCTCCCTGTGACAGCAGATCTGGTCCCTGAGGGGCTTCATAATGCACAACTGACTCAAGCACCCCAAACCACCCATCACTCTGGAAAGCCCTGTGCCCTATCACCCCACAGCATTGGCAGTGCCCTCCCATACCCAGTGGGGCGATGCAGGGATGGCCACTTCCAGCTGGTCCAGTGGGATTTTATCTTCAGCTCTGCTGCTCTGCACCAAAATGCTTGGTCCATGTCCTGATCAAGGCTGGTCCAGTAGCCAGGTTACCCCAGCACAGATCAAGCTGCATATGGCAGAGCACTTTATTGGGGTGGCAGCTGCCCTCCCTCCTGCCCAGCCCATGTGCCACACAGGGAATTGCCCAGGTCTAGTTATCAGCTTGAAAACCAAACATCCCCACAGCAAAGGGAAGGAGGAGACTGTGGCAGGAGTGTGGGTTTTCACAAGTGCTATGGCAGCAGGACTGACCCCACCTGCAAATTCTCCCTGTGGTAGGAACCACTGAGCAAATCAGGTCAGGTCCTGCCTTCAAACATCAAAACTTTCCCACAAGCTGATAACCAGGTTTGCATTCCGACCTTAAAATGTTAATTTGCCTCTGTCTGTGTGAGTCACTTTTGCAAAATTAAGTGGCAGAGCAACGGAATAGTGGTGCCTTTGATTTGGTACCTTTGATTTCACCAATTAAGTGAAGAATGCGTAGCAATTCGTGTTACCTGGTGCCTTGGTGGCAACTGCATGAACTGGGGGACAGACGACCCTTGCTGAAGAGCCCACCTGGATCCGTGCTGGCTTTGTTAAGGGGAGGTTAAGTGCACTCCAGTGCTGACAATCACGGCATGAGAGGCTCTCAGGAAGCAGCAACCACGGTGGTGCCTATGCAGGAGGGAGGGAGGAAAGAAAGGAACTGCCTCTCACAGGAGAGACAGGCAGCCTTTTGCAAAACTGAGCACCAGAAAGATGATCATCTCTGCTTGGCAAGCAATTGCTCATATTCGTGTCTCTCACCATGTTTAGGGAGAGCCTCTTCCCTTCAGTTGCGGGGCCAGGCTGCCCCAGAATCATGCTCTGATTGTAGGGGGTTGGGAGCAAAGCCTCCCATGGGTGCAGGAATCCCTCCGTAATGCGTTGAACCGGTGCTTGCGCAATGTTGCAGCATCATTTCTCCTTTAACTCCATTAATTACAGAGCAAGTACACACTTTCCTCCCTGCATTTTAAGCAACTAGGGAGACAGCACTACTCTTACCAACAGCACCAAGGGCTAGCTGCCTTAGATGTCTGAGTCCCTGGCCCTTGGTTTCAGCAGGGAAAGGCTATCCCATGCAGCATGCTGGTGTCAGGAGAGGCGAGGCTCGTTGTTTAACAGAGCTTATTAACAGAAACCCCGGATGTTTAGTCTTCTCTTCCCTGGGGTTTAAAAAAAAATGTTTTCCAAATATTGTTCCATGCCATAAGGTCTTTCCCCCACTGCCAGTTGCTTCTCCGGTGCTTGGATGGGAGTCATGAATTCGCTGGCAGGCTGTGCAGCAAACCGCCGCTTCTGTCTCCTGCCACCCATCAGCCGGCCCCTATTAGAAGAGAAACGGCAAGTGGTTTATCTGCTGCCCGTATGGCAGCCCTTATGGGCTGGGTGTCAGGAGGCAGCGTGCCGCCTGCCAGGGGGTCGGCCCCTCCAGCAGCACTCCCCCTTCCCTGACAGAAGCCTGCCTCTGCCGAGACCCTGCTTCCCCCCACGTCCCTGCTGCTCCTCCTCAACTTTGGTACAAAAACAGGGGCCGTGGGGTAAATCCCATCAAAATCACGATGTGCCAGGACTCTGCTCCCCTTCATCCCTATCCGCAGAGCATTGCTGTTAACCTGCCACCCGCACGGTCCCTCCATAACCCCCTTCTCCGGGTTTGTTTTCTTTGGAAAGGCTGTCGCTCCTGTGGTTGCTGACAAAGTTTCTTTGTAAGCGTCCCATGGGCTGTCACTGCCTCCTTCCCCAGCCTGCCCGGCCGGGAGGGCTATCACTAATGTGTGTCATTCATCAAAGCAAAATTACATGTGTCCCAAAAAGAAAAGACAGCACGCAGACAAATTACAGCGTGCAGCAAATTGCTTAGTTGTAGAGGAAAAAAAACACAGCGCACTGTTTGCCTCCCCTCCCAGAGGTAGGTGTTTAATTCAACATATTAAGGCTGAGAAATCTAATTATAGCGGCGGGATGGGGGAAACCCAATTGCAGTGAGGCACAGAGACTGCCCCAGCCCGCGGGTGCGGTGTGGCCACATCCTGGCTGGGTCAGCCCAAGGCCCATGCTCAGGGGGTCCTGCAGCATCGGCAAGGTGGGCTCCACTGCGCTGCACAAGGAAGCTGGCATGGGGAGCAGCACTCGGCATTGCACCAAAGCACCTGGAGCCACAGGGGAGAGGAGGGCTTGGTTGGGCAGGTTTTTAGGGGTTAGGGGTTTAGACTGTATTTTTTAAGCACTGCAATGAGGGATACTTCATTTCCCCATTACTGCAGCTGTGCCATTCTGGTGTGAGACAGGGCTGAGGTTGGGGAGGAGGGCTGCCTGGTGAGTCAATGGTGTTGGGGAAGGGGGGCTGGAAGGGGAGCCCCCAGCCAGGTATTAGCCGCCATGCCCCAGGAGCCAATGATCCTCCCAGTGACCCTGGCATGGCACCCAGCATGCCTCCTCCATCCCCAGGGAGAAGGGTGAGAGGGATCCTGGCCCCAGTCACCTTTGGATCCCATCTGGCTGGCCCACCAAGAGCAACCTGGCAGAGGTCTGCTCCACTGGTTTTATCTTCCAGATTGCAAAAACCCCTCTTACATAGCTAATTGATTTTCATTAATCACAGTCTTTTGGTGTACTTGTTTATGTTCTTCACTACTTCACAAATCTAATCTGACATCTGATTTAGAGATTTCAGAAATTAACCTTCCTCCAGTGTTTCTGTTTCAATGTATCTTTATTTATTTACGTTCCTGTCAAGTGCCTTTCAATAGGAATGATTTCTACTTTTGGCAAGAAAAGGAGCCTATTGTTTTCCATGGAAATGCACAGTTTTGCCAATGGAGTGGAACCCAAATGGGCAATTGTGGGTAAAACTGTAACACCCTCACTGCAGTTCTGTGACACTGGGCTGTGATGCTGCCCCTTCCTAGCCTGGACATCCCAGATGCCTGTTGAGAAGAGGGAGGTAATGGCAGGTCCCCTTGCCCTGGCTGGGCCTGGGCAGAAGGAGGGATGGCCTCCTCACTGTCAGAGCTCTCTGGCAAAGCTGCAACCCAGCGCTTTAATTTGGTTTGCCACAGTGACCCGTGGTGCTCCTCGATCAAACAGAGGACAGCTGCCTTCAGGAATAGGATTCTGTATTTCTGAAAGCAACAGTTAACCTGGCAATGACATGATTTCCTTATTTGCAGGAGACAGTGTGTGCATTATTACTGAGGTATGGCAGAAATAAAGCTCTTTGGCTCACTCCACATTTGAGATCTATTGTCTTTGAAGAAGCATCATGTAAAGAGCAAGAGGAGCTTCTCCAGCAGCGGCTGCATAGACCTTGCAAAGGAAATTGAAAGAAACAGTGAGCAATTCTTTATCCGAATGAGGAAGAAGAGGAAAACAAAGTGGGGAGGGAGGGGGGAAGTGAGGGCACAATGGACCAAAGATTAAAGGTAATTTTGGAGTGGCCCCAAAGTAATTGCCTCTGTTTTCCCTGGTGGTGGTGGTGGTGCTGCAGGTGGGAGGGGAGGCAGTGAGTGAGAGATAATGGGTGGCACCACGCAGAGGCAGCAATCCTCACATCCACGCTGGCAGCAGTGGCATGCACACCTTGCAGTGTTTAGTCTCCTCTCCACATGGCAGAGAGCAAATCAGCCATGCCTGAATAACACAGAACACATTTTTCCAGAAATAATATTGAAGGGTAAATGGTGAATGCAATAAATTATGGCATAAGTTTGCCAAAGGCAGTTGGTTTCAGACTAACCTAATTTCCTTATGTAGTGAATGATTTCTCCAAAGCAATGCCATCCATTCCCTTTCGTATGATACCCTGTAGGAAATGAAGAGCTAAAGAGACGTCAATGGGACCTGGTAAAGGAGCTGCAGTGTGGCGAGGGCAGGGAGCAAAGACAGCTTCATATGTTTCAAGGGAATGTGTCAGTGAGAGCATAGCTGCTTGTCCAGTTTCCCAAGCATCCTTCTTGGACTAAAACCCTTCCGTATTTTGACCATTACCTTGACAGAAATGTGGCAGCGCTAATGAAGTTTGCTGGGTACAGCAGAACGGGACATGGTACTGGGGCAGCTGGATGGCCACAGACAGGGTACTGCCTGGAAAGGAGAGCAATGGTGATGCATTCAGGATCTCCTAACTGGTTCTGTTGTTAGCTGGGAGCACATCAGTTGGGAAGCACCTAGGAGCTGAAGGGCCTGGATAAATTAATCAAGCCCTGGGTAAACCATGAGCCTTTGCTGGGAAGTGGCCATAGAAAGTGGGAAGTCAGTGGCAGGGCTATTGATCCAGGCAGCACCAGCAGAAGCAGCACTTAGTAGCACCATTCAGTTTGATGTCAAGGTGGCAGATAATAGTCCACCTTCTTGGTGAAACCGTGGGTGGCTCTACCACTGCAAATGAGCCTGACCCCAGAGCAACCTCACAGCCCTTCCTCACCTTTGGCTGCTCTCACCATCAGACCACATTAGAGCCAAATGGCAGAGCGGGGGGAAAGCCATAACCTGCAATAATCAACCTGAAATAGCCCGGTTCCTGACCTTGTGGGCTTCCTGTGAGTTTGTCTCACCTGCCATAGGACAGGCAGCAGCTGGTGCCAACAGGCCTGTGTATAACCTGCACCCCTGGGTGACGCAAGCCACCACGACATTGGCAGGGTGGCGGGGAGTGGTGTACCCAAAATCTGTCAGGGTGTTCAGGAAGCTGCTGGCCAAGCCTGTGTGCCCCCAAAGACGGGGGCAGCATTTGGCTGCTATGTGGTTACAAACCCAGCCCATGACCTTCCCTCCATCTGTCGTCCGGCCTCGCGGTAATGGATGGGTTTCTATTCTTGCTGTTGTGAGTCCACTGGCACTTACCCATCCTGTAAACAAAACCAGCCCTCTGGAAGCCAGCGGACATCAGGGATGTAATTTAGTTTCTTAATAGCCTTGCTGAGGCTATTTCGGCATGCACACCGTGATGGTGGTGCAGCGCTCCTGACCTCCAAGGCCAATGGTCAGGGCAAGGGATAATGGGAGGAGAGCCTGGCAGGACATGCTGATGACCAGAGACCTTCAGCTGCAGGAGGACTGCTATGTTTGTCTTGCTTCATTACAATTACCTTGCCCAGATGATCTTCTTGCCTTCCTTCACAGTTGCTGCAAGGTTCATAGCAAGCACAAGCATGTTGGTATTTCACTTCCCTCTGAAATGCAAAGGAGATGGAAAGCCTAGTTTTCCTCTCAGCCAGGTGGCTCCCCATAACAGTGTCCTATAGCCTGAGCCCTGGATTTATTTCTACACTGGCTGTACTTTTGCCATGGTGTGCTACATGGCATATCTTAGCTTCAATTGATAGTGCACTGTAACTCACTGTTTATAAACAGCAAATAGGATGAACTTTATTTTAGGGCATTTGCATTAGTTTGGTTTCAGTCTACAGAGCAATGCATGACTTTCAGAGCAGTGGGGTGGAAGGGCATAATCAGAAATGTATCCCTTTTGGGTACTTTTAAAAGCAGCCAGGCAGCTGTAAAGGGAATCTTTCATCTTCATAAAATATTAGAGGCTACAATTAATATCTTGTCTGCATTTTGTAATTTCAGTTGCTCCCTCTCCTTTCCACTGACTACAGACTGCACCACTTACAGCCGCCTGGATTTCACTGGTTCAGGCACCCTTCAGGAAAGGGTTCATTGCCAGAAATCAAATGGCTCTGAGAAAGGGCTACATAACCAGCTACATAACCACCATAATCCAGTGTCCCATGGGTGCTGCTGTCTTGGCCTTGGCACGCTGCATGGCCCTTGCCAAGCCAATGCAAGCAGGCAGGAACCTGGGCTTCAGCTGAGGCACAAGCAGAGTGCTCCTCAGCTCTCCTGCCATCACCCTGAAATGCGGTGTGCCAGCATATACCCAGCAGCCAAAGGCATGCTCCATCACCCATGTCTGAATGCCCCTGAGCTGAGCATGGGCAGCCTATATGGGCATGTTGGATCTAAAATAAGGTGAAAATTAGCTGTCCTTGCAGCAAGGCTGCCCTGAGAAATTGTTGCCTGGGCACTAATGTTACCTTTTCCTTTTGAATGCTTCTGCTTGCAGGACATTATTAATGTAAACAGTGAAGTTTGTCCACTGAGTCCTTTTCTCCTATTTTTGTCCGCCAACCCTGCATTTTCAGGGACAACTGTCATGGCATGGCATTAGGGTGCAGAGATGTGGCAAGTGCACCTGTACAGTGACTCCAGTCTCACCAGCAGCCAAGCACACCATTATCAGTTTATTAGAACTTCAGCCCTCTGAATGCTTGTTCATCAGAAACGAAGCCATTTTCCTTGGCATTTTCAGCTCTTTGTACGTGTACAAACTCATTCAAAACCTGAATTCCTTCTCTGAATTAAACTGTCAGCCTCCCACTCAGGCAGATACATTAGCACTGACTGTGTAACATCAGCTCAGCTTTCTGTATAACATATGAATAAGCCTTTAAAATTGTATATTCTGCCCTGCAGCATTTATCTCATATTTTGATCCTGATTTTTCTCTGCTAAAAAGCTTGCTGGTCTATTCAAGTGCCTTGATGGTTTACACGCTTCTAATTTAGGGTTCATTTGGGACATTTGTTCACTTACTAATACATTCTCAAGCCGTGGATTATAATGGATTTCTGAAATTGTTAAAGAAAGTGACAAAAGATTTCTTCACATTTCATGATGTGTAGATGTAGCAGTTTATACTTCTGAAGGAGATCTTAATCACCATTTTAATTTGCTTTTTGCAAGGAAAAAAGAGTTATCTTTAGAAGCGATGACAGGGTTCAGGGGTAATTTTGAAACTAGTGTATAATAAGACATTATTAATTAAAATAAAAGATCATATTGGCTGTAAAATTTGTGTTGATACAGTACTCTAAAATTAGCAGAGAATGGATGCCTGCCACAGAACAGTAGGTTGAAATGGGGTGGTTAAAATTAAAGCCTCTTATTTTCACTATGTCACCTAATATCGTGCCTACATGAGATTTCCAGCAAGGAGTTTTAAGTTTTCTGCAAACCTTAAAGGCCAAGAAATAGCACTGGGGAGGCCAGGAAAGGAAAAGGGAGGGAAAGAGATGGCTCTGCTAGCCCCAGAGCGATGGCACAGCTAAGGTCATGAGGCTGTGGTAGGCAGTGCTGCTTTATGGGAGTCACTGGGAACCGCCAGTCTCCAGCTCTGGCAATGGGAAGATCCCGCTAGATTAAAATAAATGGTAAACCTCCCATCGACTTCAAGTGAGGAAAATATCCCATCTTTTCATATGCAGTGTGAGTAATAATAAAAAGATACATATGGGTTTTCAGCTGAGGTACAGCCACATAAGGATTATCAACGGTACCTTTCTCCCTGTCTGTGCTCTTGCCCCATGGATTGATTTGCTTACCCAACGGCACCAAAACTCAGCACAATAAAAAGGCGCCATGCTTCTATTGTGCGTTTACAACTGCAGCTACCTTTTTCTTTTCTCAGAAAGAAAACGCAGCCCGCCCTGCAATTAGCAGCAAAACCATGAATACTTTCTTCGTTAACCACAAATGGTTCTTTTCGCGACGAGCGGGCTCACATATGTTCTAAATATGTTCAGTTTCATTAGGCGGCGAAGCGCTGTGGATCTGCTATTTTATTCAGGAAGGCAAACAAGAGCTGCATATGTGCAACATAAGTTGAGGAGAATGGGAAAAACTCAAGGCACTTGCAGTGTGCCCAAGATGCTCGGACAAGCTGATTTAATGTGGGATTGCTCCCAGCTCGTTTCCATCAGCCTTGACGCTAGCAGAGATGGGCTTGCTCGGGCTGGTGATGCTCCTATATTCAGCCAGCCTGAAAGCCCTTCAGAAAGGTGGATTTGTGTGCTGCAGGTGACCTGCTTTGACAGGGCAGTTAGCTGGGTTGCCAGAAAAGAGTGACCCTTTCTGTGCAAGGCTTACAAAAGGCAGCTGCAGAGGGAAGTGGCACTGACTGCTGCTGTCTATGGGGTGCGGGGTGAAGACAAACTGAGCCTATGTCCTGTAGCGGGGTCTTGGGGTGATGCAGCAGTCCGCAGGCTGAGAGAGATGGCTGGGATTTCCCCAGATTTTCTCCCATTTGGAGAAAATACAGAAAAATCTCTCCCAGATTTTTCTGTTTATAGTTTTTAGTGATTTCTTCCTTATTGCTTGTGTTTCTCTAGTTAGTTGGTCAAAATGGTTCAAGAATTGGAAATGCATATTTTTTCATATTGTATTCAGACCATTCTGGACACTGGAAGCAAAGCAGCATGACAAGCTGTGTGTGAGCAACACCTCAGCTCCCCTCAGCCCTCACAGCTCCCCACTGTTCTATGCACAGCCTTTAAAACCAAACTGTAGGCATCAACATTTTTTGTCTTAAGGCTAGGTCCAACTCCTGACATCACTTAAACACCTGCAGTTTGTTCTGATGAAGAAGCTGGTTGAGAACATTCTTCAGACCTTGGTGTCTCCTTTTTGTCTCTCTCCTGAAAGCGAGATGGACTGTTTTTAAACCAGGAGGCAAGTTTATACAGAGTGGAAAATGAAGATTTGTGTAAATCGCATTTTTCGTGTAAACACATACAGTGTCAAAATTATTCATACCCCGAAGTGTTTCCCATCACATGCACACTAATGAGTGGATTATGAAATATGTTTTCTGTCTTACACTTGGTCTTTCTGATTTGCTTTCTCCCACCAGAAAGGTCCCAGAGGAGGTTTGATATCCCCACAGGCAGGGAAGGGCTATGAGAAGCCTTCAGAAAGTGCACTGTGCCCTTGGTCCCTACTGAGAGATGGAGGGACTGGGTTACTGATGCTACGTCATAGGACTTCGTGCTTCCCAAGGGGAAAGCTATCTCCTATGAGAATGTGACCTGTTAGAAGTATCTCAAGTGGGGCTACAGAAGGTGATGCTTTTTGGATGTCTGTCGGGAGAGGCTGCCAGGCAGTGCTCTTGCTTAAATTACATATACAGAGCATCATTCCTCAGAAATAAAGTCAGCAAAATGTGAATAAACTGGGAAGAGTTCTCAGGGGACCTCACAAAAAAAGTTGCAAGAAATTACTCTATCAATATTTGCTGATGTCATAAGAGGTATATTTTAAATGCCTGACTTGTGGCAGAGAAGCTGCTGTAAATCACCAACTCAAATAAACTAGTGAGAGCTGCCCTTGTAAGAACAACCAATAGTCAATAAGTATCCCAATATCTACGGTGACTCCATTCATTGTTCTTCCCCCCGAATCTGGGCATTATATTAATAACATTTTTAGCTGTACATGGCCTGCTCTGGAATCTTTGTGCAATACTGCCGAGTGTTCTTCACCTCGGCCCACCCTGTGGCTGCTGCTAGGAGCTCAGGATACATGGAGTTAAATAAGTTTTCCTTTTCCTCCATACGAACAATTGGAATCAGCAGTTTGCATTATTTTAAAAATGAAAGCTTGGAATCAGCAAGTTTCTTTTTCCTTTTTTTTTTTTTTTTTAAGATCTCGAGGGTTTTTTTTTTATTTAAAGTGGAAAACTACATTAAGTGCAAGGCACTCAACAAAGAAACAGTCATAAAGCCTAAGTATTCTTAGAGTTATAAAATATGTCCGTGGTGGCAATTCTACTGCCAACAATGAAGTTTTAAGCATTAATATGCCTTCATTGCAGTTTTAATGCCTTAATATTGACTCTATAGCTCTTTTGGGTAATTTTGCTTTCTCTGGTACTTGAAAGGTGATGATGTCAGCGTTCTTCATACTGATTCATATGCAGGTTGATGAAGCTGAGTTATTTATTGAGTTCCATTATATTTTCTATAAACATTAGTTCTCAATAAACAGAGACATTTAGCCGAGGGTTTATTTATTAAATAGGTACTGTACAGATGGTTTTGCCACACATGATGTGCTGCAGAGGATATTACTCAGGAATAATCAGCTGTGTTATAGCTTGGCTAAATTAATAAGATGATAATGATGAAATTGATGCTTTTGAGCTAGGCTTGGTAAATGGTTTTTGCATAAACAAACTGATAAATTTGAGAAGCAATTACTTGCTTGTCAAAGATAAAAACACAACAGGGCCCATTTATAGTTAGGTCCTATTTATTTTTAAAGATTGTACCAGATTTTATGTTTAATACGCTGCAATTAAAAAATAATACTTAAATG